AAAATTTTTTTTTTGTGTGATCCTAGAAACCAGCTTGTCGTTCTTAAATTCTTGATTGAATCGTTGTTTTACCAGTTTTATGTGTGACAAAAAATTATCTCACTAGCTTCACTTTTGAGTAAACAAAGTATTCAACCGAGTAGTCAACCTTAGCAACGATTTGCAAAACGTCTACACTCAGCAGTCATGCCGTTTTATATTATATTGTTTGTGTCTTACGTGTCAAAATGGCTCTTGTGTCACACAGTGTGCCATGCTGTGTTTTGGCACAGATGTTGAAGACATCGCAAAATCTCCGTTTCTGTTGTTGGCGAAATTCGGGGAACATTGTAAAAGTTCAGGGAAAGTTTTACAACTTCAACGAACTTCATTGCAGTTCAGATAATTTCGTTAATGTTCAGGAAACAGGAAGTGTAGTAAATTCTGAAAAAGTTCTCAAACTTTGTATAATTTTATTGAACTTTATAAAATTTAAGAAAACTTTATTAAATTTCAGTGAATATTAGAGATGTTCAGCTAATTTTTTATAGAAATTCAGTTAACTCCGTAGGAGTGCTGAGAACTGTGAAAGTTCAGTGATCTTTGTAAAGCTTCTTCAGACTTTGTTGTTAAATAGCAAACTTTAGAGGACTTCAGTGAATTTTGCAAAAAAAAAATCAAGGAACTTCGTTGAAGAGCGGAGATTTTTACTTAACCTCAAGGAATTTCGTAAAACTTCAGGAACATCGTAGAAGTTCACTAAACATAATAGAAATTCAGTACACTTGGTAGTAATTCTGGAAACTTTTAAGAGGTTCAAAGAACTATGTATAAATTCAGGGATGTTAAAAAATGCCCAAACCTGAATTTCTCGAAAGAGTATTTAAACTATACTGTCTAAGAAGCTTCATACAAGTTCCAAGAATATTATTTAATTTCACGAAAACTCGCTAAAGTTCAGAGATGTTTTTTAAAGTTCGAGGCATTTCGTTACATTTATATGTATTACTACCAGTGAAACCAAACACAGAAAACAACCAATAATAAAGGCAAATTCCGTGCCAAACTGTTTTCCTACGCAATTAATCAATCGATCAATCAATCAATGTGAATTTTGCTAATAAACACGAAGAGCATTTCTTATAACAAAATGGGCAAAGTTCATTTTAGTTAACAAACTAACACTAACTTCCTTGTGTGTCACCTTTATATTAAGTGCCTAGACTCTCGATCGTCTGTTTACTCGGCAGCAACCTAAGAGGAAGAGGAGACAACTGGTTCCATTTTGTCTGTGACGTGTTCTGGTCCTCTCGCATAAACGACCGTGCAAAACTATTTCATTATGGGCGACGCAGTCGACTGTCAAAATATAAGAAAATAGATTCCCTGTTGTAAAAATTCTCGCGTTTTTATACGTTCGCCCGACCAATCAGGCGCTGGTTCGCGTTTGACAGAAAATTGGTTCATAAAAGACCCCTCATTGTCTCCTATTCCTCTTAGGCAGCAACCATTGTGTGGTCCTCCTCATTGTTCTTCATCAGCAACCGTTTCGTGAAGAGTGTGTAAGTACTGACCACGTTTTGCATCCATTACTGCAATGGAAGCGCTCTGCACCCGTTGGCGATACTGCCATACAATGGAACCACTGGAAGCCAAATGTACCGATAAATAAAGCACACTGTACCAAAACATCGAGCTACCAGTTACGCCAAATCGACGATCAAATGCATTGCTTACAAAACCTGATACGTCCCTTTGAAAAAGTTATCGAGATTTGGTATTGGTTCAGCCCCTTAACGCAAATCATTCAAAACGACGATGTGAATAATTCTATCGAACATCATTTGCTGCTCTAAGCAGACAAACGAGGTGGAAGCATAGCCATCGCTATCAGAGGTAATGCAAACATTGGTAAATCAAGGAAACCGTAAATTGTCTATTTCGTAGAGGAAGGAGAAAGTTTCCTCGACCAATAAGAAATTGTTGTATCCATGATGAATGGTTGTTCATGGCTACTCAATATGGAAAGGTAAACAATCGAATTAATAATCTAATCTAAAACATTTGCAAGTCATCTTATCCCTAATATGTTGTCCTCTGGTCCCTGTATGTTTTACAGCCAATTTCCAAATAAATATCATCCTTTATTTGGAGGACAGTCTTGTGGATGCTCATCAGTTGAAGACGAATTAAACCATAAGGAAATCATCCGAAATTCGACAGCATATTGTTAAAGGGCTCGATCAATACAATAATCAGTTGAAGTATTGCGGATGTTTTCGTTTAGTGCAGTCATCGCTACCAGAGGTGGTACAAATATTGGTAAAGCGTGGAAACCGAAGATTGTCTGTTTCGTTGTGGAGGAAGTTTTTTCTACCAACAAATGATTTTTGTATCCATAATGGAATGGCTGTTCGTGGAAATTCAGTATGAAAATACAAACAATCGAATTATAAATCTAATTGAAAGCATTTGCAAGACATCATATTCTTAAATTGTTGTCCCCCGAGCGCTGTATGTTTTACAGCCAATTTTCAAATGAATATCATCCTTTATTTAAATGACAGTCATATGGATGCTGATTGACGAATTCAACCATACACTGAGGCAAAAGAACGTAAGAATTCCATAAGAATCACTTATGAATTTGAGCCACAAGAAATCGGTATGAATTTCATTGACTTGCCTTAGAAAAATATAAAACAGTACAGGCTGGAACCGAACCATGGACGTTGAGATTACGGAGTCTTCCAACGCTTTGAAAAATGAAATGATTAAAGTTCCAGAACAACATGTGAAAAGGGCATACAAGCTTTTTGTAAACAAACCTTTTTATGCCCTTTTCTCGCCACCCATATGACACCAACGCAAACTTTTAACTTCACCGGGTAGGGGACACTTTCCCCTTCCCGATGATATTGCTGGTTTGCGTGGGCGACCCACGGTTGGCGAGAAAAGGGCCTACAAAGTGTTTGTTTACAAAAAGCTTGTATGCCCTTTTCACATGTGGCTCTTGAGTTGTATAACAGCTACATCATAATAAACGAAAATCATATAAGTCACGCTCAGAGTTGCGACCTATCACAAACAGCTGATGGTAGTAACGCTTAGTACATTCCTATCAATGTGCTTGTCGAAGCACTCTCCATGACCATCCATCAAGTTGACGAAAGAAGTAAAAAGCAACTGGTGAATGTCGCCTTCGGTGTTGATCCATCACCGATCTGGTCATTTCCGACAATCACGACACTCATTTGTGCTCGTTTTGAAGCAGTTGCTGCTTTGCTTGCTTATGTGAGTGTGTTGGTGGCGTGCCGAGTTGAACTTGGAATGCGTAGGCATTGTTTTCAATTTGTTCTATCGTTTTCCTTTTTCTCATCATCGTACTGCAGAAGTCTTTACTATTTTCGTTATGCTTTACATCATCAGCTGCGAGTGTTACGTTTTGCCTGTGAGCAGCAACCATTACTGGTGATTGTTGTTTGCCATGGCTCTACCTCTCACTGCTTGACAAAACGTTCTGTCAGCGATAGTCGGTTGATGCGTTGACGAGTGTCGAGTGAGTGTCATGATATTTTGCATCTCTGGTCACGCTTATGAAATTCGAACGTGTCTTTCATAAGTCGAGCCTTATGAAATTCTTAGATTTATTTGCAATCAACCAAAATTCGAAAGCATATTCTTAAAGGGCTCGAAGTGTTGCGGATTTTTTCGTTCAGTGCAGCGGAGAAAAGAAGAAAGTCAAACTCACGGTCGATGAGAGCCATTCAAAATTAGTCGAATTCGACTTAAAAATGCAAAAAACTGGATTAGTCAGTAAGTCAATAAAATTAATCTGGATTTTTTCTAAAAAATCAGCTCGAATGAGAGGACAATCGATAATAAAATTAACCAGTCTTTGAGTAAATTCGTAAACTAAGTCAAATTTTCCATGATTTTTTCCATATTTGAGTCGATTTTTGAGGAACATCAAGAAAAAATTTACTCTTTCAATGTGTAACCCCACAAAATTCAACTTAATGTTGAGTTACTGTCATCAGCAATGCACCAATAAATAACGAAAACGATTAACGAAGCCATCACACCCCACACAAAAAACGCATCCAGTATGTGATTGAAAATCGAAATCCAACAGAAAGACAAGCCAGCGCCAATTCTTCTGGGGTGTGCTTTCTTCATCTCCTAACGCACTCTATTATGGTAAGCATAGACAGGGTTAAGAGCGCTACAAAATGGCAGACGGTGTCAGTTACCGGAACGAATATCTCGATACCTTAAATTGGTATGCATGAACCTGACATAAGAGGTAAAATACCAAACAATAATACCAAAAAAATGTTCCCACAATACCATCCCATTGCCAAATTATGAAAATGAAATACCAAAACAATACCACACTGGCATTCTTTTGGTATCCAAATATCAATTTTTGGTATTTACAAAGTATTTTGCATGTAATTTTTTGGTATTATTCTTTGGTATTTTTGGTATTCATGCTGGTCAATACCAAATTTTGGTATCAGGTCAGAATTCATTCGTCATTTTCTCCTGCGCACGTTAGTTTACCACAGACAATACATTTTCAAAATAATATGGAAACACCTCTTCACTTCCTAATGTAAATAATTTTCGTTACAGCAAGCGTCCATCTTCCTCACCTGCGCTCAACGTGAGTCACTGCACCAACGACTCACTTTGAACACTTTGCCGTAAATCAGTACATGTATCCAAAAAAAAACAACCATACATTGTACAAAAAATACAGGTTTTAATTTTCACTCTCTTCTCTCCAACTTTTTTGTTTTTTTGCGTTCAACCACACCACACTGCGACTATTACACATGTAATTTATCTTCCACCACATTGCAACGATGATCCACCAACACTTTGCCACACTCGAACCACACACCAAACACTGCTAAATCCAACGCAAAAAATCGAACGCGCCTTCCATTGTTATCTTCCTCGGCATAATACGGCATCATCTGGAAATCAACGGCGCATCCACCATCTCCACACAGGACGGTAAGATCACCTGTCGTTACGATGATCATTGTGATGACAATGAACTACGAAAGATTGAAGGGCCTCCTGCAAATGATAGTGTTAAGGGTAGTATTTCTAATAATAAATCATCGCAAACAACGACCCCAAAGACATCACCGCAAACAGCAGCAGCAGACTACAGCAGTAGCATCGGAACAACGACAGCCACGAAGATCCCACCACCTCCCGCGACAGACCTCCTCTCAGCTACAGCTACGACAACTTCAGAACAATCAACCTCATCAGCTTCATCTACAGCAGCAGCAATACCAAAGCCAAGTTCATCCAGCAGTAGCGCTACCCAGCAGCAGGAGGCACAACTTCAACCGAAGTTACACACTCGAAATCCGTCAAACGCAGCAAAGAAGCTACTCAAGCGATCGCTACCATCCGAAGCGACCGGTAGCCTCCAGACCACAACGTTTGCAACACCTCTCCGAAGGTATATTGGTAACTAAGTTCATCAAGAGCAATGAGATGACCACGTGGATCATCTGATGATGAAATCGCACGTGCTCCCCCCATCCTTCCCTCATTTTCCTCTCCCACATCGAGATCCATCGACAAAACTAGAAATCCAGAACTTCATGTACCATCTTCGTCCCCCTCTCATTTGAAAAATCTCAAAACAAAGCGCTCCAAGATGTTTATGTAAAGACCTGTTTTACCTGTGTAGTTACATGTACAATTCTTTTGTAATTTGAACTAGCGGTTGAACAAGTTTCTGAAAAACAAAAACAAATCACATGCATAGGAAAGTTTTAAACAAACGAGAAAGCTAGAAAATTTAAAATTACTACAGTTTTTAACTCCAAATAACAAACAAAAAAGAAGAAAACTAAAATACGGTTATGACAAGACAACGCCCAAAACGACAAAAAATAAATACACAATACTTTATACCAAATTCAATCCAAATCCAAAATCTACCGTCGCGTATTTTCTCTCTACATTTATTCACAAACTCTTGCTCTGTCTCTCTCTTTTAAATAAAATTCTCCCGAACAAAGATAACAAAACAAGAAACGAAAAAAAAAATGTAACCAAGCGCATCAAGTAAAAGTCGATTAGTATAAAACAAAACAAAAACAAACAAACAAAACAACGCTTAGGAAATTTAACAATGAAAGTTCGCTTGAAGAATGATGAAACCGAAATCAAAAGCACCCGGTCATGTGTTGTAAGCTATATAGCAGAAACGGTTTTTTAATTGCAGCAACAGATCCGAATTTGTGTTGGGGGTAAACTGTTCCAACTGTGATTCGTTCCACCACACTCGACTGTATTGAAAAAAAAATCTGTTCTTGGGATGCACAGTTTGAAACGTTTACCTCCACAAAATCGAACCGAAAACCAGAAGCATACATTCCTGAACGCAGAAACTGAACATGAAAATTTTACTGACGCTGAAAGTATTAAAACCAAACGGAAAAGCAACTTTGACGTGTGAGGCAAAACCGAAAAAAAATGTCGAAAAAAGTATGATTAAAAACAGTTGAACAAGTGTACATAGTAGTTGAATAGTTTGTAAAAAGCCCTAAATACTAAACCACAATATGAAATGGCGAATAATCCTGTTTGTAAGATTTTTATTATTTATTACAGTGCAGACGTGAACGATTGTTTCCATCGAAACAGCAACATCGTGGCTAAAGCGTAACCCTGATTTACTTGCCCTAACAAAAGTTACAAAACAATAACAGATGATACTGAAAGCAAACACACATACACTCATACACAAATTGAACCTAATCTAACGAGAGCAAACACAAAAAAATGCTATAATCGAACGTAAAACGCAAATTGTTCTATTGCTATTTCGAAACCGGTCGATTGTCACAATTCTAGTCAATTTCAGTTAATGGTTAAGTGTAACTTATTTATTACCAAGTCTTATTTTCGGTACCAAAACATATTATTTCTCCACTTACATTTAATTCTGTTAAAACATAAATAGAGAAGTAAACAAAACAAAAAAAAATAACATGAAACAATCAAACACATTCGCTAGGAAGGTAACGAAAGGGAAGGTATTTTGAGTAATGTAAGAAAGTGCATTTTTATTTGTAGGGATGAAATAACGCGTTGAAGTAAGAACGAAATTCTAGCTGTAAACAATCAGTGACAGATGAGAAGAAAGAAGAAAAAAACACAACAATGACGTTTCGAAACCCTCAGATATGACATAACAATAAATGAAAAAGATGGTCGTTTTTACGCATGCATGCTGCTGACGCAGCAGGCGTTGAATCCCTCACACACACACCCATACACACTGAACGAATTAATACTGTTAGATGTAAAAGCAAGCAACCAATTACTACTGTAGGTCAGTTTGTTTTCGAACACAAAAAGGTAAACAAATAAGAAATTGGAGAAAGAAAATATTAGTTCCTTCTGTCAGATGTACCACATTGCAAATGCTGTATAAATTTCAAACTGGTTATAACTGGTAGTTTTAACAATTGTATAGAATTTGAACCAGTTGTGAACGAAGCAAACAAGAACCGGTATGTTTGTGTGTGTATTTTAGCGAAGCCAGGCGCAATGTTGCATGTAGAAAATTCAGAAACAACAACAAACAATCTATAATATAATTTATTGTGAAGCTCGTCAAATGCCAGCGAAAACAAACCAATCTAACTGAGAAAAGAGACAACTGAAATCCAACTCAATTTACTCAAAATTTATGTGTAGGATGTTTGTTTGTGTTCGTCTCGTGTGACAGCAGCGTTTTTTTCTTTCGTCACGCTTTTCGACTCACGATTTGCGTTTTTGGTGTGCGTGTAAATAGTGTACGCGAGCTCTAGTATGGTAAATGTTCTGTGTTCTAATTGGTTTCCTTTTTGCCGAGCAAAATAAGCTTTGACTAACAGCAACAAACAACACACACACGTGTGCCGGTGTGGATTTTTGCATTGATTGCAACGCAAAGAACAATGGACGATGCTCTCTGTTTTTAGACTGTGTATTTGAAAATACTCTCCTAAGTTTTTGGCCTTTTTGATGATGCAGGATAATGCATTAGTGCTGGCGAGATAATTAGCGTTGTATTTAGCGACAGATTAACTATAATGAAACAATGTAATAAAGAAAAGCATACAATAAAATTTCACTAAAAATTGATCTAAACTGTATGGTAGGACAAAAATAAATTATTAACTGTCATGTAACTATCACTAGTTAAGTTTCTAATCCTAGCGAGTATAAAGAAATTCCTGTAAATATTAGTTAATAAAATAAAAAAAAATATAAGAAAAACCAGCAAAATATTAGAAAACCGAGAAGAGCAAAACAAACAGGATCGGTTTAAAGGAAATAACTAAACCCGAAGGAAATCAACCCGTTTTTCGATGGCACAGAGAACCGAAACCGAAAGAAATACTATCCAACAGATGTTGAGAAAATGGAGAAAAAATCGAAAAACAAGAAACAATTATGAACAAAAAAGAACCGTGTATAGTGGTTAGAAAATTGTAATTTTATTTGGTCTTTATATTTATATTAAATATATATTTTAACAATTTCTTTTAATAAAAACAAGCCAATTAAATGAACAATTATCCAACGAAGCAGACTGACTTTTTCATTGAAGACTATTCTGTACCTATATATTTGTTGCTTTTTTCCTTCCCTTTCAAAGACACACCCACACACTTTCTCTCCTCGATTTCTAATATCTATTTTTTTACTTGAGAGTGGATGATTTGCTTTGTTTTTTTTTGTGATTGTCTTGACATATTTTTAAAATATGCACTAAATCATTTGTGATCATATATATTGTAGAAGGAAGAACCTTCACTCCTTAAAAAAACGAAATGGTGATCAAAGAAGATTAGTAATCACAAAGAAGGTTTGTATAGCAAGAGGGAAGAAGCACAATGAGCTTTAATTGATAAATGAACTTGTAACCAAAGAACAAATGGTTGTGCTCAAATGGTACTATGTGTCCACCCCTCAATTAACTACTATGACAGTGCTCAAAAAACACTAAACTGACAGCTGGGGTAAAATCCCAGTGGGGGTGTAATAAAAGCGAAAGAAGCTTCAAGTCACTGGGCTTTAACGATTGGTATCGACTGTAGATTTGTTTTGTGATGCAAGAAGCCCAGTGTAGAGGATATCGTTAAAAATAGATAGATTACTGAACCCGGTACGGCACGATATAAGATTTTTTTGGAAGAAATATGACGGCTTTCGGGGTCGGGGATTGATTTCAGTCGCTTATTGTCGTCAGCTTGAGCATGTTTTGGTCGCAGTAGTTTGTTGTGATGTGATGAGGCTCAGTGGCCTAGTGGCGACCGTTTTTGCTAGCTGAGCAAAAGATCATGAGTTCTAACCCTAGCCTTTTTAACAACCACTGAGTTGATAGGGTCATATCCCCGTATCAAACACTTTTTTTCCTCTGTTGGGGACCTAAAACCACTGCGACCTGCGACCATTAATTTGATCTATTGTACTATATCCCGTGCCCTTAGTTTAGTGCATGTCGTATTACTCCATCACTGTTGAGAAATGATGAAGTATTCGATTTTTTTTACAAATGTCATTCTTGCATTTATCGCAAGGATGCGACTCTAATTGAAAGGTCCCGCTATTCATACCCTTCGGAGTGTTGAAACACCTTCCACCCTCCGCACCCTCTTGTCAGTCAAAAACGGATTCATTTGCATCAAAATCAAACAATAACACCGATAATGACTATGCATCAGAATCCTAGTCTTAACCACTTCAAACTAGGGAACAACGAATAGACGATTAGGAATCACATAGATGAAGACTAACTAACTCATTTTTTCCTTGTTTCAAGTTCATCTTCGGTTGACTAAGCCGAGTCTTGTCGCTATCAACAAGGCATCAAAAGTAACAAGGACTAAGATGCGTTCCTTTGATTACTGAAAAATTCTGTTCCCCTAGTTTGAAGTAGTCAGTGCTAGGCTTCGGTGGTAGAGCTTACATCCCGTGACGTACCACGAAAAGGTGATCTACCCACGTTACGGGGCACATTTTTAAACACTTACAATGCTATAAAAGATCGCATCGCTTTCCAAAGTGAATCTAGGGCACGTGGAACTCGAATAGCAATTTGAAATTCCATCGACGCTTCTTTCAAGTTACGTGTAGACCAATGTTGGGAAAATATCAAAAAATCAAATCTCACCAAAGAACAAGATCACGCTGTGATATCGCAGCTCGGAATATCAAGCTAACAAAACTCACCACCTTCAAATCTCATCAAACTGTGGTGAGATTGAGTTTCATGATTTTTGCTAAAAACCCGAACGCAACCGAAATTTCCATAACAGGTTGCAGCAGTCGCTTCGGTGAACAGATAAAAGGGATAGCATTATTAAGCCTGCTCTTCCTAAATAAACGATGTGCAATGGAATCATTTTTGCCTCCATTCAACTCTCAGTTTTAAATTTACACGTTGTGAATAGTCTCGCAATATCAAAGGAGCTTGTATAATCAATATCAAGCATGATATTTTTCTCCATTATGATAATGGAGCAAAATATCATGGCATTATCACGCATGATATTGAGAGCAGAAAAATATCAATTTGCTAATGATTATACCATCACTGATTGATACACAGATTTAATTCACTATTACAACTAACAAAAAATGTCCTTCTCGTGAAAACCGTTGAGATGCAGAGGTATACTCGGTCTCTAGTAAAAACGGATGTCGAAACGGATGTAGTAGTTAAGGCCGGCGCCCATTGCATATGTTTTCGGGTTTTTTGACAGATAATGCATGGGCTAACTGTCAAAAAAACCTGAAAACGTATCTATTGTGCGCCGGCCTTTAGAGTTAGTGTGGAATCGAAATGAGTAGAATCGAGTGTGCGTGAAGCGTGATAGACCGTATGTAAACAGAATCTGATTGTTTCGGGAATTTTGATATAGCTATAGGTATAAATATGAGGTACCTAAGCTCGTTGACGGCTCAAACCAATCCCACCAAGGTGGTCGACCGTGTACTAAGTCTAGGACTAATTCTGTAAAACAAATTTTGAATTTTGCCCATACCTAAAGATGAAGAAAGCAATTAAATCACTTAGTAAAAAAAAAAATTTATATGGTAATCGTCCAAGTTAAACTGAAATAAAGATCATTTAAACTAACTCGTTGACGGCATTCTAATGACGGACGACCAGCAAAAGAGCACCAGCAGAAGGGATAGGTGCACTAGTGGACCAACAGAGGGAGCAGCAGATTCGCGGAACCGTGACTGAGGCTGGAAACCTCGGTCCGGTTACTACATCGAACAACCAGCTGACCCAGCTCGGTCCAGTCACGACAATGGCGCAACTCGGTAAGTGAGAACCATCCTCTTTCTTGCGAGGATGCTACTGGTGCTCCCTAAGATGGCAGTTCAAATTCCCCTGAGAGCGTAGATGACATTCTCCCGAGAAGGTAGATGAAATTTCCCCGTGAGAGTAGAAGAAATTCCCCTGACAGGGTAGAAGGAATTTCTCCGAGAAGGTAGAAGAAATTCCTCCGAGAATGTAGAGGAAATTCCTCCAAGAAGGTAGACAAAATTTCTCCGAGAAGTTAGAAGAAATTCCTCCGAGCGAGTAATAGAAATTCCTCCGAGAAGGTAGAAGACATTCCTCCGAGAGGGTTGATAAAATTCCCCGAGAAAGTAGAAGAAATTCCCTCGAGAGGGTTGATAAATTGCGCCCGATCCTCAATTAAAGAGAGTAGGAGAAGGGAAGAATGTAGAAGTTAGAATTAGTGTGGAATCGAAATGAGTAGAATCGAGTGAGCGTGAAGCGTGATAGACCGTATGTAAACAGAATCTGATTGGTTCGGGAATTTTGATATAGCTATAGGGCTATAGGTATAAATATGAGGTAGCTAAGCTCGTTGACGGTTTTCTTATGACAGACTGTAGAGAGAGCGGACGACCAGCAAAGGAGCACCAGCAGAAGGGATAGAGGCACTAGCGGACCAACAGATGGAGCAGCAGATTCGCGGAACCGTGACTGAGGCTGGAAACCTCGGTCCAGTCACGACACAACCCTCTTCTCTCAGATGGTTGTAAGGACGTGGCCAACTTCCACACCTGGACCCTACCTATCGACCCATTAAATCATGGGTCGGGGACCAACGGCTTTACTTAGGTCTCAAGAAAATCCCGACGGCGCCTACTGGGTTTGAACCCAGGCTTTTTGGAGTGAGAGGTAATCATGCTTACCATTACACCACCGGCTAGATCTGGTCAATCGTGGGGTAGTAACTACGAATTTTACGGTCATGAATGCTCATTCTCATGCCATGCATTAACGTCAAACCAATCCTACTAACTACTGGCTACTGACCAGTGACTTCACGTTCTAGCTAACGGTATTTAGCAGTTTGAACAAAATTAATTTAAGCCCTAGCAAATCTTCATACGTTGCGCAATCGTATCATAAAGAAAGCTCTAACCTCATTTTCCTGTATCCAGCGGCTCCCTCGTCGGATGATCTTGAGCCGATCTGGTGACCAACACGGAACTCGCGCGTGGGATTCTATGGGGTAAATGCGTCCCCAACGTTGGTGGAGATTCGAGCGGGTTGCTGGGTAGCTCGTTTCACCACGCCTTGCCGCCTTGCTAGTGCCTGAGTTTATTCACTTTCTTTGCACAATTCAAATATTTCTAAATTTCGCTTAGTATCATGGATGAAATTCATTATTTGGGAAAATGGCTCCAATGTTGGCATATGGTTGTAAAGATTGGGCCTATTGATAAAAATCTCCTGTTCTTCGCTCAGGGATGAACCAGCATCTGGCTGAAAATCTCCTTAATAAAGACAACCAACCAACCTCCTGTTCTTCAATTTTTCGTAGAACAATGCGTCATCTGGGCAATACAAATGGATATTTTTAGTTGCTAATGAAACATTGTCAAAAAAATACTTTCCTTCGAAATGGATGGGCTCAATATTAGGCACACTAACACGGCCATTAGAGACATTAAACCTTTTGTGAAAATTCAGAAACAATTTTGGGAGAATTGTTAAATGAACTGCAGTGAAAACTTTGGATAAGTTCAGCGTGGTCGTTTAACTACATTGAGAAAAAATACTACCCAAAATTTGAGTTCTTTTTACTTAATATTGACTTCAGCCTCTCACTTACACTCGTTATTGTTGTCAAAAAAGGAACGAGAGATTCGACCCAACGATATAGTTCAGCCCAATAAGTTACTTTTGAGTAAATTGCATATTCTCAATTTTACGTGAATTAAACTTAATTTTGGGTAGAATATACTTAAGAGTAGGTAATTTTTTTGCTGGTGTTGAATGGAAACTACTATACGCAATTTACTCAAATTTGGGGTATTGGGCTGAACCCCAGAATTGAGGGAAAAGTACTTAATTTTGGGTAGTTTTTCATCTCAGTGTAGGTAGTAATTTCAGGAGAAGTTCAGTCAGAAATGTCGCTTTTCAAGCCACAGGTACACATAGCCTGTTCAACCAGATATTTCTTAGTAAACCTCGACAGTTTCATATGCTTGAAAATGTCTGCCACCTTTCCCCTTCCGGTTGCCGTATAAAATTCCTGCCCAG